GTATGTTGATTGGTTATTGTCGACTGTCAATCCCAATCCTCCAGATGAGGATATGTGGATACGACCTGAGATCCACCCATGCCAGAAACATCATAATGACATTCCTGAGTTTGATGTACAATCTGATTATGTAGACCTTTTGAATATGGTTCAACGACATACTCGTTGTAGCACAAGTTATTGCCTTAGAAAAAAATCTGGTGAATCAGAATTGAAATGTAGATTTCATTTTCCATTTGACCACTGCTGTCGGACAAAATTAGAATTTGAAGAAATTGACACTAAAGGTGACAACATACAATATAGAGCAAAAATTATTACTAAAAGAAATGATTCAAGGTTGAACAATCATCAACAACTTCAGCTGCAGGCCTGGAGAGCTAATTGTGATATACAAGTAGTTATTGACCACTATGCTTGTGTAGAATATCTGACTAAATATGCTGCTAAAGGTGAGCCAAGGTCGCCAATCCTCAAACAAGCATTCAATTCTATTGTCCAAAATGTTGACAATAATACTGACCCTCATAGAGCCATCAAGAAGATAGTAATGAAATCTCTTGGTGAAAGAGATTATGCAGCTCAAGAGACAATGCATCATTTGCTGTCTTTAAAACTCCATAGTTCATCATTTAAAGTTATTCCAGTGAGCCTAAATGGTTCACGTAGAGTACGTAACAATATATCTATTGAAGATGGTGATTCTTGTACTGATAATTCACTTCTTGACGTTTATGCTAACCGTCAAGGATATGACAGTTCACAAACAATTAGGGACATGAACTTTGTACAATTTGCAACAACGTACACAGTTGTTAACAATGAGCTCTCAAAATTACCAGAGAATGTTGTTCCAAGGGTATTTCCAACCTACTCTCCTAACCCGAAAGGTCCTAATTTTGGGCTGTATTGCAAGTATCAACTTTTGAGGTATAAACCCTGGAGCACAACCCAAAACAATGCATGGGGAGACTTAGAACCAACTGATGAAATTCTAACCAACCATTGGCAAGAGTTCTTGCAAACACCTTATGCACAAACTCATGTACCAGACTGGTTCGACAAACTTCAAACTGTTATTCACAGTCAACAAGAACCAGAAGATGAACCTTGTGAAGGACAAGGTAATACCCGAGAGGAATGGATGATCCTATCTGATCTTCATACTCCATTTGAGAATTCTGAACAAACACCAGAGTCAACATATGACTGGCATCAAGATAGAGCACAGTATTCTGAACAACAAATTCATGAAATTCCAGCATGGATAAAAAATAAGAAAGATAATCATATCAATAATGAACACTATGAAGCTGTTGATATCAACAGTTTCAGTAAAATGCAAGGACTTGCTTATAATATTGTCAATACACATTTAAGTAATACTTCATGCGACAAAGAACCGTTATGCCTCATTGTTATTGGTGTAGCTGGTACTGGCAAGAGTTACCTTATCAATGCACTTCGCAATCTTTTACAGAATAAATGTGCAGTCACTGCCACAACTGGTAAAGCTGCTTTTAATGTACAGGGTATTACTATTCACTCCTTGTTGAAGCTACCTGTTAGATCACGAGGTAAAAAGGATTTGACAGGTCAGACTCTGTGCAGACTGCAGGAAAGTTCAAATGGTGTTGAATATATTGTCATTGATGAATATTCTATGCTTGGTCAAGTTACTTTTGGCTGGGTAGATAAACGTTGTAAGCAAGCAATGGGATGTAACGACAAGGTGCTTGGTGGAAAATCCTTTATTTTATTTGGCGACCCAGGTCAGTTGCCACCTGTAGCGGATAAACCCCTTTATCACGCCAAACCATCAAATGCTGTTGGTGAACAAGGATATCAATCTTACAGTATGTTTGACAAAGTGATCAAACTCACTGTCAATCAGCGAGTGCAAGGCATGAGTTCTGAACAAGTCACATTCAGAGATTTATTGTTACGACTCCGCAAAGGTGAATCGACAGTTGATGACTGGAAATTACTTTTGACTCGTCAACATTCTGCTATTTCAAATTTGAGTGAATTTGAAGATGCTACCAGACTGTTCTACAGCAATGAACAAGTTGCAAATTACAACCATGACCAACTGAGTAAACTTGAACATCCAGTTGCTCACATCAATGCTTGCCATTCATCAGCAATTGCTAAGAAAATTCCTTCAGAAGATATGTCTGGATTAGAACCTGTACTGTTTTTAGCAAAAGGTGCTAGAGTGATGTTAACGATGAATTTATGGTCAAGTGTTGGTCTTTGCAACAGAGCAACTGGAACAATAGTTGACTTTATCTTTGAAAGCAACCATCAGCCACCAGACTTTCCCGTTGCTGTTATAGTTCAGTTTGAAAACTACAGAGGGCCTTCGTTTGATCACACTCGGCTATCTTGTGTCCCTATATGTCCAATCACTGTCTCATTCCAGTCAGAAAATGGTTTCCACGAGAGACAGCAATTACCTCTGAGACTTGCTTGGGCTCTTACTATTCACAAGAGTCAGGGACTTACATTACCAAAAGCTTGGATAGACATTGGTAAGTCTGAGAGAACCGCTGGAGTCTCTTACGTTGCAATCAGTAGAGTAAAAACACTGTCATCTTGTGTCATTGAACCAGTGACGTACGAAAGATTGACAAGCTTAAAATCTTCAGCGAATTTGCAGTTCAGACTTGAAGAGGAAAACAGGCTAGATCGTTTAGCACAAAGTACACACAGTGCATTTAGCTTGTCAAACTATTGTGGTTGAATAATGTCAAGAATTTCAGTGGTGGAACTTAGTTAAATACTGTATGTATGTATGTATGTATGTATGTATGAACTGTACATGAAATGTATTACACATCTCTTAATATAAGCTAGATTACAGTCCATTCTGCGCATGTGCGGGCTTTGTTTATATTTTTTGTTTTGGTTTGGATCCACTTCAATTGTATAATATGAAGTATAGCGGCTATGCACTATATAAATGGAGTCCGAGTCAGGAGTGGAGTTGTTAATTTTTTTAAAATTGTCTTCTGAAAGACAAGCAATTAAATATTTTGAAAGATCATGAATGGAAGATATATTGTTGATCAATTCGGCATTTGTTTTTTGTGTGCCTCGTTGATGAAACATTCAGAAGAGACCGACAAAGCCGACAAAGGTGCGAGTCATTGTGTTGATTATATTAATGTTCGGCATTGTAAAATAAACTTTGGAAGTGTCAAAGTAATCACTAATTTTTCCTTGGGGTATTTGTTCGTCAAAACACATTGCCAAAGTCATTGTTGCTGTCATGGCAGAAGCACTCGGAGAAAGCTTTTCGCTGGAAGAATTGGAAACGATATGTTCATGTCGCGGCTTGCTCCAGCGGGGCCTCCAGCTTCTGTCTTCGATGGAGTATGGGTATTTTTTGCTCAAGCGCATGCCGCGAAGAGGATTTTGATACATGTATGAACAATCAAAGGACAGATGGTGAGTTTGTATTATTGCTATTAGTTATGTACTGTTCGTTAGAAACGTGCTTCACATGTAATCTTATTGTATTTGTTCATTAGTTTATAACTTTATATATGTTTTGTTAGTTTATACGCAAAAAAATGTGGCCTGAGCAATGGTTCATTTGAGAATATGTAATGTTGTTCACCGCGATAGTTCACTCAAAGGATGATGATTATCTAACAATAGCTGGGTAAACTTTGTTTACATATTTTGATACTTTGCCTGCCAAAAATATACACAGACTTATATTTCTGAAAGCTTTAACCACTGGCTTTAACACACATGATTTGTTTTATTAAATACCCCACATAATTATGCATATCCTTGCCGGGTAAAATATCAAATTATGTAAAAAGGCTTACCTGTCTATATACAAGTGTACATAGCTGTGAAAATGCAGTAATTTGGTGGTAAGAAATATCTGTGTTTCACTGTGCTTGAGTCTTTGCATTTAATTAACGATAAATATATTCATTTCAGAATCTTGTGGAAGCAATGGATTTAAATGCCCTTTGAAGAGCATTTGCGTTAGAGCTTATACAGCATCAGGCAGCTGCATTTGTCAATTTGGTAAATTGCCAGGTGAACCGCTTCAACCAGACCCAGCTACGAAAAACCAGAAAATGCCTCAGAGTATTACAAATGTGGATGCTGTGTTGCAATGCCAACAAAATGGGTAAACAAATGCTGTACACAATCAAGACAGCCTTGCATAACCGCCTAGCCCTCTCTTCCCACAGTGGCACAGTTAGTACTTGATGGAAATGTTCGATCTGGACATGGCCATGCATGCATTAGAGGGATCATTGAGGGAAACTTTATTATTCATTAATCCATTTTACTGCAATTATCTCCCCATGACAGGGAGGATCATTTTAAATATTTTGAAAGAACTTGGGTAATTCACACCTGTTAAGGCCCGTTCACACAAGCGATTTTAAACTTTGATTTTCTCCTTTTGGCATTTGTGTTTTAGCAAAATTACAGGAAACATTACTTTGCATGGCTTTATTATTTACTCTAACACATACACCAAAAGAAGAAAATTGCAGTTCAAAATTGCTTCAAACTTATTATAAGCTTTCTGTGTCTAGTAACCACAGCAAATTTTGCTAACAAATGAAAGCCTTTATCATGTTAATGGTTAAATGTCTATGAACAGTAATATTTCATTATATAAAAGACTGACCAGTTATCAAATACATTGGATGTTCAAGCACAACATTTTGTATATTGACATTGATTTTTTTATTCTTTAAAATTACTCCTTGCTCCTTACTTCAGTCCTGAAAAGTGTATTGCTGTGCACCGAAGATCAATGAATCCAATTTAATATGGACACCCTGGCTCAGTATTGGGGTCCAGGGGTTTGTAATCAGATTTCCTTCTCCTAGGTGGATTGCCTTTCAGGGATTATGAGCTCCACCTAACAGAGCACTTTGTTTTAACTGGCAGACACTTGTCTACAGTGATCAGTTGAATTTATACTGATGGGTTTCAACAAGTTCTTTGACTGAAGGAGGAGGGACAGGGGTTATGTTAGGAGCGATTTGCCTTCGGTAATCACTTGCAACACCATTCCACATATCTAAAGAAGACTTATAATTAGTTTTATTCCTGTTTAAATGCTGCTGACCAATGTGTTTTAAAACACTCAAATGGCTTTTTTCAAGCCACATTTTGATTTTGTTAATAATGTTCATGCAAATCAAAATTTGGCTTTCCAAAAAGCCTTAAGTGCTCTTAAAACACGTCAATCAACATGCCTACAGAACGATCAAAATATTTGTTTGAAAATGTGATATGAAGAATATGGAATTTCATAATGAAAAGTGAAAACTAAAAGTCACTTTTTTTCTCACTAGGATTCAGGAAAGCATAAAATGTTATACATACCTTCATTATAAGTTGCAGGATGTATTCGTACTGCCTAGGAGAATCTTTAAGAATCTTTATATGGCTCCATTGCTGTTTCTTCCCCTTGCTGAACATATACTGGCAATGGCTCATGTCTGCATTCCATTGTATTGTTTCATCTGGCTACTGATCCGTCTGGGTTTCCACAGCGCTATAAGTCAACAAAAAATTTTGTAATGAGGAAATATAACAACATTAACATAACTGAAATATCCAGGGATATGTGTTATGTGCTTACCACAATTAAATCCGTCTTGATGTTTCGTATACAGGCTCGATCAGCATAGTATTCGCGAACCCTCGTCACTTTTAATTCCAGCTTCAGTTTTGAAATGATTTCACCGACCAATAGCATCATTAAAGTACATTTTCGTTGCATACCTTTTCGCGAAATGTTCTTTTCGATTTCCTGGTTGGTTTTGGCGACCAGCATTAGAAGAATTTGCCTTTGAAGTGGACAGCTCTATTATATAACTCTTATGAGTCGGCCATTTTGAGCGCGCATATCCGAATAAGGACTGGAGAGCACACAAAATCAAAACAAGTGTGCTCACATCAGTGAACTCTATATATATATATATCTGGAACGATAACATTCAGTCATTTGATTGTGAAAAAAATGAAGCCTCGATACCAGTCTTTCACGCGGATTGGACGTCAGTCTCAGTCCCTCAAACGTCAGGTTTACGCGGATTGGACGTCAGTTTCATTCCCCCTCTTGCAAACCGTTGCACGGCCAGTATAAATTTGAACGCAATCACGAAAAAAAAATTAAAAACATGGCCAACTGCCCAACTCAATGCAATACATTTTAGGAGCAAACTGTTTTGCTCCTAAAATTTACTGCATTGAGTTCGCTGTCGGAAAAAAGTCGAGAAAAACTTCCCCGTGTGGAGAAAAGAATCACTTTTTCAAATATATTGTGTCGTACTGTCGTTCTGGATGCACAAGGAAAGAGATGTTCTTGCGAGAAAATTTCATTTCACAGGTAGGTAAATTGACTTGCAACTGTGACTTTGCCGTTGCCATTTTTCGCGATTGTTTGAATTGTTTTTTAGTTTACCAGTTTTATAGTTTTTAGTCAATACACTGGCACGTTATTTTTTAAAGAATTTATTGTGTGATCGGAATTTGCCTGCCAGCAAAATGTAAATGATATGTACGTGTGTTTGAATATAAATTAGACCATATGGGCTTAGTACGTTTCGGAGTATAACTCCATCTTCAGGTTAAAAGTGAATAAAGATATAAAAACTTTGATAAAAACTTTCAAAACAATTACAAATTTTATATGTAAGTGATTTTTAATACTGTAAGAAAGTTCTTGAACAGTTGATGACGAAGACAATGACGAATACTTATGTCGTGATTTTTTTGTCGGCTTCACTTTTCGCTCGCTGTTATCATTCCAGATATCTATATATAGAGTTCACTGGCTCACATTTGTTTACATTTTTGACACATGCGCAGAAGCGACTGTAATCTAGCTTTAAAGATTGAAATCGCCGAAGCCGAAGGGACATTTCATGTACGAGATTTAATTATATACAGACTATAAACAAAGACAGGCGAAAGGCTATGCGAGAGACTGTACCGTTAATTGTACAAATCTACAAAAATTGTGAGTGATGTCTTGCATCTTTCAATTACAAATGAGAAAATCTTGATCGTGAATGAGTCCAGGTGATCTTGATACGCGGAAAAGTACTGGCACTAGTTGTCAAATAGAAATCCATTTTATGATTAAAACAACTGAATATCTCCTGTAATATACTTTACTTCGATTCCATATTTTTATCAGAGCTATAGTTCTCATAACCAAACATAATTACAAAATTTCAACTAGTTTCACAAAGAATAACGAAAGATATAATTGACTGAATACATCAAAATGGATTTCTATTCGGACAACCCTTTCTGAGCGCTGATTGGCT